ATGGGTCACACTGGGGGGGTCCGGAGCTGGGAGAGCGCCCAGAGAGGTCTGGCCTCAGATTTGTCCCTCGTCGCCCCGCCCTCTTCAAGGAACAGAGGGGTTAAACGTCATTACCAGTGTCACCAGTGCCACCAGTGTCACCGGTGCCACTGCCACGCGCGGGCCCCGGGCTCCCTCTCGTGGCTTCTCGCCCCATCTCATGTGGTGAGCGAGGGACCCTCGGGGATGCGGCAGCCGGGACAGCGGGGCCGGGGAGGCCTGGCCGGGGGTGTCTGAGCCGGGGGGCTCCGAGTGGGGGGACCCCGGACCCCTCCTGGCCAATCCCGGCTGCCCCCAGGGCTTTTTCCTGCTGCAGAACCCCCGGGACGCGCCTGAGCGCGGGGCCGGGTGCGGATCCTGTCCCGAGGGTGCCAGGGGGATGTTGGGGGGTCCCGGCTGTGCCCCCCATCCTCTCCCGGCGCTCCGCGGGGCCGGACCCGGCGCGGTGTCAGCAGATGGCAGCAGCGGCTTTCGGCAGCGCCGGGATGTGGGGGCTCCCCGCGCTCCCGGCACCCCTGCAGCTCCTGAACCCCCTGAACCTCCTGTACCCCCCTACCTGAACCCCCTGTACCCCTGTATCCCTCACTTTTTGCACCCCTTGACCCCCCTGCCCACTCCACACCCCACATCCCCCCCATTCCCTGTATCCTTCACCCCCTGCACCCCACACCGCCCTCAGCACCTCCCGGGCAGGACCCCACACCCAGCACCAGGATTTGGAGGGGACCAAGACCCCAGAGAAGCTCTCGGGGGAGCCCACGCAGGTGATGATCCGCGGGTGGGCTCTGCCGTGGGGTGCAGGGAACCTTCCCCCGAGGGTTTGGGGTGTGCAGGTGAGGGATGGGGGTGCCCGAGCTGCTCCAGGGGCTCAGTTACACCCGGGGAGCAGCAGCAGGGTCCCCCCAGATCTTCTCTGTGCCACCAGAATCCCTCAGGGCTGGGACTGGGGGATATCCAGAGCAGCTCTGCACTCACTCATTTCCCTCGTGGGCTGCACGGAAAGCCCCGCACACCCCAACACTGATTTAGGGACAATTTTTTGGTGTCGTAGGGCAGTGGGCTCGGTGCTGGGCTCCCAGCCCAGTGAGGGTGAGGTGGGACAGGACGGGCTGGGTGTGAGGGCTGGGACAGCTCCCAGGTGTCCGTCTGGTGCCGGGAGAGGAATGAGGAGCGTCTGCGGAGCCCGAGTGCGTAATTAGAGCTGTGACTTAATTGGCAGACGGGGGACGCGTGACGGGAGCCGTGTGACTTGAATAGCGATGGGCTGGGGAGGTGCAGGAGGCTCCGCACTGCACGGGGAGCCCAGAGGGGAACAGGGGGACAAGAACACCCCAAAAAAGCTTTACCCACTGGTGGGAGAGGAGAGGGGACAGGGAAAGGACAAGCACAGCATGGGCTGTCCCATGGACCCCGGGGACAGCCGGGAGGGACCCGAGCCCCTGGAGGGGGGTGGTGACATCCCAGGGCACCCCCTGAGCATGGCAGATGTCATGGGGTTGGAAAAGAGCAACGTTCCTCTTTTATTTGCAATGGGGGAAAGGAAAAAGCCAAGGAATTGTGATGTTAGCTGGGTTCAGCCTCTGGAAAAATACCAGGACACATCCAAAACCCTCCAGTGGGAGTCTGGGAGGCAGCAGGATGACAGGGACCAGCCTTGTCACATCTGACAGGAGCCACTGGGGCAAAACACTGCCCGTCCCATGTGCTGGGGCCCAGCCTCGGCTCCCTGTGGGCCCAGGATGGGATCCAGCCAGGCAGGGAATCCTTGGTTTTTTCTGTGCCAATCTCTCCATCTCATTGCTGGGGGACTTGGAATTCCCTCAGTGGAGACGGGGAAGCGCTGCTGCCGCTGCTGCTGCCGCTGCTGCTGCCGCTGCTGCTGCTGCTGCTGCTGTTGCTGCTGCTGCTGCTGGTGTGGAGGCACGTCCTGCTGGGACCTCGGTTTTGCCTCCCTGAAGCTGTTTTGGCGTCACTGGTATCAGAACTCGGGGTTTGTGATGCTGCTCCAGGTGTGCAGGCCATGGAGGAAGCACCATCAGGAGCCTGAGCCCGGCAGTGTCTCCTGCCCAGCCTCGTGTTCTGGCAAAGAAAGGCCCAGGGGAAAGAGCAGCCTGGCCTGGAGCCACCTCCCTGCAGGGCTGTGCCCAAATCCTGCTCCTTCCAGCCCAGCCACATGTGGCTGAATTTGGGGGGCCCCCAAACTCAGTGCAGGCAGCTCCAGTGAGGGGCTGGACCCCCCTCTCCATCCCGAGGCTCCTGCTCCTCCCCTGCACCTTCTCCAGTGCCGAAGTGATGAAATTTTAATCTTCTGCCAGGCAGGAGATTAAAGGGAGGCACCACAGGCATTTCCCTGGGATGCAGCACGGACACCGTGCTGGGAATTGCCATCACCAGGCTGAGGAAAGAGAGGAGGAATGGTGTGGATTGGGCAGGACAGGGCTGTGCCCTGGCTCTGGCAGAGGCTTTGTGGTTGTCCCTTGGGTGCCTGTCACTTGTCCAGGAAGGATCTCTGGGGACTCCTCAGCTGGGGGGGGTCTCTCACTGTGCCCCCCAAGCACCGCTGTGGCCGTGCATGGACAAGGGAGGGTGGCAAGGGGATGGTGGCAGAGGTTGCCAGAGCCCCTCACACCTGAGTCACTCCCCTCTTCAGGATGAGCAGAGAAAAACCATCAGTCCATAAACCAAACCATAAATGTGGGGACTCCACTGATGCTCCTAGGAGTCCCCAGCACAGGTAAGGCAGATAAATACCTGGGACAGACAGACAGGTGAATACCTGGGACAGACACACAGCCCCTCACCGGCCCCGCCACCTCCCACCCACAGCACGGCCCGGTGCTCCCAGTCAGAGCTGTCCCTGGGTGCTGGAATTTGCCACCCGTGCCCAAAGCCACCCACCCCATGCCCAGCCCCTCACAGGGCCAGGACACCCCACTGCTGGCGGGGAGCAGCACTGGGGTCACAGCAAGGTCCCCCCCTCCATTGTCGCATGATTTGGATGATTTGGGGACTTGGATTCTATTCCCATCACCAGCGAGCATCAATCAGAGGGTGCAGATTAATTAACCCGGAGGCATGACTAATTCCAGAGGCTCCTCGTATCCCCTTCCCAGGGAATTTAGCTCCTGGTGACCCGCAGGGGCTGTGTGACACCCGGGCGGGGCCACATCCCCTCTGCTGCACCCTGGGGCTGCTCTCGGCTGCGAGTGGGACCCCCGGTTGTCCGAGCAGCCCCCGGGAGGGCAGTGCCGGGACCCCGGGAGGGCGGGAGCGAGCTGGGGAAACTGAGGCAGAGAGCGGGGCCGTGCTGGGCTGGGGGCCCGAGCCGCTCCCGTCCCACCGCCCCCGGGGCCGGGGGAGGGACCGGAGCGGGGCTGCCCGGCGCTGCAGCGGGCGGAGCCGGGGCTCGGCGGGGCCGCCTCCCGGTCGAGTCCAGCTGTACCGTACCGTACCGAACCGAGCCGAGAGGAGCCGGGCTGAGCAGAGCCCCGCCGCACCGGGCAGCACCGGCGGCACCGGGAGGCACCGGGAGGCACCGGGAGGCACCGGCGGCACCGGCGGCACCGGCGGCACCGGCCCCGGCGCTCTCCGCGGTGCTGAACGGCTCCGCCGCGCCCGCAGGACGCGCCGCCGGCGGGGCCCGGCCCGGCCCGGCCCGGCCCGGAACGGCTCGGCCCGGCCCCGAGCGGCCGCGGGGGATGGAGCCTTTCCTCGGCTGCACCGGCGCCGCTCTCCTGCTCTGCTTCAGCTACGCCGGTCTGCGCCCGGTGGAGGCAGGTACGGGCCCCGGGAGCGGCTACCGGGGATGTAGGGAGGGGGTTCGGTGCCAGGAGAGACCCCCGGTGGGAAGCGGGGTGAGCGGGCAGGGTTGAGCCGAGGGGATGGAGTTTTGGGGCGCCGCGACTTTGCCGGGATGGAATTGGGTGCGGAAGAGGCGGCGATTTGGGACACGCAGCCCCGCGGCACCGGGCTCGGGCAGCGCCGGGCGATCCGAGCCCCCGCCGTGTCCCAGCGTGGGCGATCGCAGCCGGGCACCCCCGGGGAGGGCGGCTCGTGGAGATGTGGAAACGGGGAGAGGGAGAGGAGCCCCTCGCCCTGCGCTGGGCAGGGACAGGGACAGGTTTTGGGCACCTGAGCAGCGGCCCCGCTTGGTGTCACGGGGCTGAAGCAGAGTGGAGGGGGCAAAGCCGGGTCTGCTCTGTCAATGCCCCTTCCCGGCTGTCCAGGGCTCTGCTGGGAGCCTGGTGGTCCCAAAGGAACCACGGTGGTCCCAGAGGAACCATCTGCCCAGGGGTACTGCACACCCCAGCCACAAAAACCAGGCCCCTCCGAGCTGAGCAGGTCACCTGGACTGGGGGATGTTTGGTGAAAACAGTGACGCCTTGAGCTGGACTTAATTTTGGAGCTACCAGGATGGACCCAAGTCCACTCGTGCCTTCACTGGCCCCAGCACCCCCTGCGTGGGTGCAAAGTGGGTGCAAAGAGCAGGTGGAGCTCCCCAGCACAAACCAGTCACTCTCCCAAAGCAGTCGAGGGCTGTGTCCTTTGCTGGCTGCAAGATGTTGGTGGAACAGCTGCTTTGATTCCCAGACTGCTGATTGCCAGGATATCTCGCATTCCAGGAGGCTGGGGGTGATTATCAGGGATGCACAGCTCCAGGGAGTGGAAATTCCTTTGCTCCAGCCATCCCTGGAAGTTGCTGGAGTTACATTTGGCCTCGTCGGGGGCTGCAGCAAGCCCTGGATGCCTTCAGCTCTGCCACCCGCCCTTGGCTAGGCAGTGGCTTCTGAAGTTGCTGTTTCACAACTGCCAGCTCCAGGGGAGATTAATGAAACATTCCCAAAGGGAGGGAGCGATGAGGAAAACACCGCGGCACAATGGAGGCGTCTGCAATTGTGACAGCACTCGGGGTTTTCTGTAAACTAGGCCACTTCCCTGCTCTTCTTATCCTTGGATCACCTCGTTTGGCATCCCAGAGTAAACAAGGAGTTGTGTCTCTGCCCACGACCACCTCCTGCCCCTGCCTGGCCCGGGAGGTGACCGTGTCACGTTCCTGGGAGCTCACAGTGAGCTGTGTGACTTCGGTGTGGTGCCACCGCCTCCTCCTTCTGTGCCACCCGTGCCAAGGGTCCTGATGAGCTCTCCCTGCACCCAGGTGAGGCACAGAACTTGTGCTGTCCCTGTTTTCCAGAGCAGAAAGAGAGGGATGAGGGCACAGAGTGATTTTCCCAAGGTCACACAGAGGTAGTGGCAGTGTCACCACCAGCTCTGTGTTCCCAGCCCTGCCTGATGATGATGGTGGCCAAAAGGCCACCAAGGCACACAAGCCAAGAGTCATTGGAAAAGCCTGTAGGGAGGAAATCATTCCCAGGCAGGGATGGAGGCTTCAGGGTTCATCCAGAGCTTGTGTGAGTGGGTTTTAAATAATTCCTGTCATGAAAGATTCAAGCCATCATTCCCAAGAGGGGACTGGTGCAAATTCCCCCCTGGCAATGCCAGGGCAAGGGCTGGTGAGTGGCACCAAGCACAGGCCCTGCTCTGAATTCAGGGATTTTGGCCAGGCAGGACAATTTTTTTCCCAAGGTGATGCCAAGGTGAGTGAGGAGTGGAAGTAGGAGCAGGAGGAGGAGGAGGTGGCTGAGAAATAATCTTCACACCAAATCCCACCTGGGTGGGTGATGCCCACATCATTCCCACTGCTCCAGAAAGTCCCTGAGGAAACACTTGGGATGGTTGGCAAGTCAGGAATAGGATTTAATTTTGCCCTTGCTCTGCCAGCAGTCCTCTCCTCGTTAGGCTGAGCTAATGAAGAGAGGGGAGCTGGGCTGGGCTCAGAGCTCAAAGAGCTGCAGGGTGATGATGGAAGATCACAAAATGAAGGATGAAGGAAGGCCACGGCCCCTGTGCCTTGCAAACAGCCTCACTGTGAGGTAGAGCAGCTCAGGTCAGGTTTATTTTTGTGAGATGGAGAGCAGAGGTGACAAACTGCTCAGGTAAAATCTCCCCTGCCAGCACAGCTCTGGGCCAGCTCTCAGGACCTGCACAAGCTCCAATTTGAGGAGCCCCTTCACAGCTGCCCCACCTCAGCTGCCCAAAAAGGTGCCAAACCCCCCTGGCTGGTCTCTGCTCAGCTCTGAAGTGTGTCCTCACCCTCTGAGCCACTGCAAAGCAGCCCCCCAGCCTCGTGGGGGGAAGGAGAGCAAAGCCAAGGTGACAATCTGACTCCAGGTGCTGATTCTGAGCCCGAGAGCTGGGCTCACCCGTGGATCAGGGCAAGCAACAAGCTCAGCACACTCAAGAGAGGTCTCTCAGCTATTTGGAAACAAGAAACCAACCCTTTCCAGCCCTTTCCCTCCATGCCAGAGGCCGGGGAGATTCCTGGCTGGCTGATGGGTGGCGTCAGCATTTTATTGATTTCTGCGTTCGGCGTGGGAGGGATTTAATTGGGATGGGGAGGTTTCTCACCCCAGTGTCAGGCTCTCAGCAGGGATGGTGCTGTGAGAGGCAGCCAAGGTTGAGCCATCCTCTTCCAAATGCTGTCTCCTGCTGGGAATATGGAATATGGAATGTGGAAAAGGGAGATTCCTCCCAGGGAGATGTGCTTGCAGTTATTAACCACGCACTCCGTGGCAGTGCCAACCATGTGCTGGCCCTGGATCCATCCTCACCCTTTGGATGTTCATTGCTAAACAAACTCTTGCTGGTTTATGAAGTGCCCAGAGGCTGATTTAGGGCCTGGATCGAGTATAATTCAGTTAAAAGCAGAAATGTATTGAGCAATGAAGCTGCAAATCTTTATGTGTGCAGTAAAAAGCGAGATACAAGGGCAGAGCTGGGCTGGGAGCAGGCAGCAAAACCCCGGGAGAGGTTTGGTGTCAGCATCCAGGAAATTCTCAGGCTTCCTCACCCCCTCTGACTGCTCTGATACTCAGAGGTGTGGGATCAGAGGAGGTAGAAAAGCCCGTGGTACCCAGTTCTCCGTGGATATTTGGATCCTGGATAAAACATGCCATGATTAGAACAACTCTGCTCTGAGTTGGCAGCATTTAAACCCAAATTATTGGCATTGGGGAGACCTGAGAGAATCCTGCCTGTCTCTGGGACTCTCCAGGGTAGAAACATTCCTTCCTTCTGCCCTGAGGAATTCCCAATGGCTGGCTGGCCACATTGCCTGTGCTCCCTGAAAAGGCTCCACGCTCCCTGGCAGCATTTCCAGCACGTTTGGGCAGCTGCTCCCTGAAGAATCAGCCACAGAGCCAAGAGGTGGGCAGGAGGGGGCTGGTGGCCTATTAATATCCCATTTTTATAGGGAAGTGAGAGGTCAGCAGGAAATAATTGCCTCTTTCCCAGCTGAAGAACCACCAGTTGGCCTCTCTGCTCTTTGAAATCACTGGATTTGAGCAAACAGCTCCATTTCCTGTGGGGCTGGGAGCAGGAATGATCCCTGCTCCCACACATTCCCCTGGGGCTCCCATCATTAAAACCCCCAGGAATGCTGAGCAATGTGCCAATGTTCCTACACACCCCATAAAACCCACAAGCAATTACATCCACGGATGGGATCCATGCTGGGAGAGCACAGAAAAGCAGCAAAAAGCAGCTCAGTGTGAATCCAAACTCAGGGAAAGGGCAGCGGGGCTGGCACAAAACATCACATGGATTTTAGGGATGCTCCTTTCAGGTTGTGTCCTTTCATCTCCTGCATCCCCAGGGAAGGTTGTGGTGCAGAAATCGAGGGAATTAAGGCTGGGATTCGCTGCTTCCTGCAGGAAAGGGCAGCTGGAAAGCAGGGAATGAGCTCCTTCAGAGCCTCAGTTCACCAGCCCATGTCCCTGGGGCTCTGAGGCAGCTCAAGCCCTCCCCAGCAGGGAAGGAGCAGCCTGGGAGAGGAGCTGAGTGAACTGGAAAATGCTGGGAATACAGCACAGCCTCAGGCAGGATGCAATTTCCAAGCACCTTCACAAGAGAAGTGAATTCAGGGGGGTTTTGGGGGGCCCTTTGGCTGCAGATAAATCCAGAAATACACTTTAATTCCTATTAATTTAATTAATAGGAATTAATTTATTTAATTCCAGACCTATGGCCTGGACTTGGCTGGCCTGAGGTGACCCCAGGGCTGTGATATTTCCACAGGTTCCTCTTTTCCTTCAGTGGTGCCTTTGTGGCCTGGGTACCTCCTTGACCCTACAAGACACCCCAGGGTTTGAACACCCCAAAATTCAGCATTTCCCCCCATTCCCAGGTGACAGCAGCAATGGGATGGAACAAACCTTTTCCCTGCTCTTTTTCCCACCCCTCCCATCCACGCCACAGCTCCCATGGGGAATCCAACTCACAGGGAAGCAGGAGGGCTCCTCTTCCTCGTGCCAGCTGTGCCCACAACGAAGTTGTGAAGTGTGTGGTGGTGGGAGGGGTTCTTCTCTCTCCAATTAAACTCCAACAATAACGAGGAAAACATTTAATGGAAGGCTGGGAGGGGTTCTCAGCATGGGGAAGGGATTGAGGATCATCTCCAGGGCTCAGGATTTCTTGGTGCACAGAGGAGGCTCCGACCTGCTCCTGCCAAAAGGGCCCCAGGTGCGACGGCACCAGGGAGGGTTGGGACACACAGGCCTGGGGGATGGGAGATTTCGGAGTCTGTGGGAAGGAAATGAAATGGGATTTTAGAAATCCTCAGTTTTTAAGTTGCTGTGCATGTTTAAAAAGTCTTGATTTCAGCTTAAATCATCAGGGTTTCCCTTAATGAGGGATGGGGAAATGGCATGAAAATGAGGATATTTTTTCATCCAAATTTGAGCAAATATCATCTGTCGGTTTGTAGGGTGGGATTTGCTCCAGCATTCTGCACTGGGATGAAGTTAAAGTTAAACCAGGAATCTTGCACCATTCCCTTACTGAGCACACAGGGAACGTGCTGCCCTCAGCAGCTCTGGAGTAAACTGGCACAAAAAAAAAAAAAAACAAAAAAAAACCCTTGATCCACTAAAAACCCATTCCCTGCTATCCCTGCAGCATTCCCACCCTCTCCCAGAACACCAACAGCTTTCCTGGCTGCCACAGGCACAGAAGCAAAGTTTTCCAGCAGTTGCACATGACTCTAGAAGGAAACAAAAAAATTGGATTTGGCACCTTGAGGCTCTCCTCGAGCTGCTGACCCCCTGCAGCCAGGTGGGAAATGACAGGAATTGTACCTTTTCCACCTGATCTCAGCCAGGCTGGCACTAACAAAGAGCTGCAACAGGGCCAGGGTGCCAAAAGTCGTGTGGAATATCTTGGAACAGTGTTTTAGGTCTTAGGAAGTCATGATCTCATCACTTCATCTCCTGGGAACGAGGAGAAAAGCAAACTCATGGATGAAAATTTTGGTTCTAAATTATTTCCACAGCTCTGGGAGGAGGAAATTCATTTTCCTGGGTTTGTATTTCTGTCAAACACGGTTTAATTCTGGTTTTATTGTTTTTATGCTGGTTTGACATCACTGATTTGGGTGCAAAGGGAAGGCACATTGGGATCTGCTGTCCTGGATTCCTGGATTTTAGAGCTGCTGACTTCAGCACCCTGTCCCTCTCTCAGGTATTCCTACAAAGAAAGGTTCTAGAATATTCTTGACCACCCACTCCAGGGGATTTCTCCCTCACCTCCATCCAGATTCCAGTTTTGGAGCCTTCAAGCTCTGGGTTTCAGCTTTGCTGAGTGCTTCCCTCCTGCCTCACAGCTCTCCACCCTCTCCCACCACTTCCCAGAAGAGTTTTTTTGCTCTCCTCCAGCTCTTCAAGGTCTTCCCAACTCCCCCACATCTTATGCCATCAGAAAACTCGGACACTTTTTATGCTGTGCCTCCCTCAAGGTCACAAATTTCAAAGGGGACCTGAACACTCCAAGTGCTGTTCCCTTTTCCCAGCTTTTTTTCCCGTGATCTCTGCTCTCTGTTCCTGTGGGGTTAATTCATTTCTTTTTTTTTCAACTGAAGCTGGCTAAGTCAGTGGTAGCTCTTAAAAAAAAAATATATATCTATATAAAACAAATTTAGCTCCTAAAAATACCCAGGGAAGACAAGCAGGCAGGGATTGGGTGCAGCAGGGAAGGGCAAAGTGCTTGGCTGCAGCTGGAGATTTGTTTTGTCTCCCATCCCTCAACTCCGTCATGTCCTCCGTATGTTCCAGCAAAAATTCATCAGGCATGACTCACAGACCTTCCCCGTGCACATTCCTGTCTGCTGACTGCCCCTTCCTAAAATTAGACTCGACTTTTGTTGGTTCAGTCACGGGGGGGGGAAGGTGAAAAGCTGCAGACCCACGTCCCTCCCTCGTGTCATAGTTTGGAAGGGACTTTTATTCCAGGGTGGGGAGGATGATTTGTCTCCCTCCTTGGCTTGCAGGGAGGGTGAGGAGGGTGAGGGATCCCATCCTCCAAGAGGATTCCTGGGGAATTCTGCTTCATTCCATGAGGGCCAGGCCTTGAGAGATGAGAATGCTCTGGATCAACACCAATTCCATCATTACTCCAGAGAGGAATGACATCCCTCTGTGGAATCACAAACTTGCTGCTCCTCCTAAAGTCCCAGATTTGTGTGAATTCAGCCATTCAGTGACTTTTTTTCTTACTGAGAATCAAATGCCTTCTCCAGATATTTTATTCCTAAGGGGCTACCTACTGGCTGTGAAAGGAATGAAGGATCACTGTGCCAAGTGACCTTCAGCTGGGGAATTCTGTGCTCCTGTTATTCCTCTGTTCCCAGGGGAACATTCACCAGGAGTGATGTCAGACACTGACACCACAGCTTGAATATTTTCAGCCCCATCCAGGCGGCTGGGAATGACAATAAATCCCACAAATGTCACTGGAGATGAGCACAACTGCACCCCTCATGTACTGGTGACCTGTCCCAGCCCCAAAGGGGTGGTTATAATGAAATAAAAGTATTAATTTCTCATAAAAGTTGGAATAAAATGACTCTTCCTCACTCTACTGACCTCCTGGGGCTACTCAGAGCATTCACTGCTTTAGGTTCAGAGCAAAGCTGAAGATTGTGAATTAAATTTGACCAGAGGAGCAGAAACAGAGTCCAGCTGGAAGAGCTGTGCCAAGCCTAGGAGGTAAAACCTTCCCTGGAGATGCCAGGACTGGGCAGCTCCCTTGGGAAGAGGCTCCTGGGGAGGTTGTGCAGGAGCCCAGCTCTCCTTGGCAAGGCTGGGAGGATCCTGCTGGAAATTCAGCTGTGCTCTAGAACTGGGAATAAACACAGAGTTTATTCAGTTAATAAACACAGAGCCTCAGGCTCCTGCTTTGCTGGCCTGCCCTTTCCACATTACAATATCCATGTCCTGGCAGCTTCAAGTGGATGTTCGCTGGATGTGCCACAAAATATTGAAAGAAACATTTTCTGCCAGGGAAAAGCAAAAGAAACTCTCCCAGCTACTCCACTCCTGCATTTCAAAGCTCAGGAATGTTGATCAAGGAATTTGGTGTGCACGTTCCCATGGCAGAGCTGGAATTTCCTCCCAGCTGTCACTGTCAAGCTGGAACAGGGAACAACAGGGGAAAAATGTGGCAGGGGAGAATGGGATGAATGAGCTGCTCAGGGATCAGCTGTGGTGTTCAAGAAATTGAACAAGGGTTGGGTATTTCACACATGGAGTTGTGGAATGGTTTGGGTTGGAAGGGACAGGAGGATCAGCCAGTCCCACTCCCTGCCATGGGCAGGGACACTTTGAACTGTCCCAGGTTGCTCCAACCTGGCCTTGGACACTTCCAGGGGTGGGGCAGCTTCTCTGGGCAACCCCCACCACCTTCCCAGGGAAGGATTTCTTCCTTATATTTAACTTAAATTTCCCCTCTATCAGTTCAAACCCGTGTTGAATGTAACTCGTATTCTCAGGTGGCAACTCTTAGCTCCACCCTGGGAATTGAGTCGTGGAGTACCTGCAATTTCCAGGTCACACATCCAAAACAGATCCTGAGGAAGGTCCTTTTCCAGTCCTTTCCTGCCCCTGTAAAGGCTCTGCTCTCCCTCCTTACAGACAGCCCATCGGCTCCAGTAAATGTCACAGTCAAACACCTGAAAGCCAACTCAGCTGTGGTCACTTGGGATGTCCTGGAAGATGAAGTTGTCATTGGATTTGCAATTTCCCAACAGGTACCGTGCCTAGAATTCCCCAGTTTCAGCCATGTCCACCTCCCCCTCAGGTGCCCTTGGTTCCCAAATCCTCTTGCTGCAGTTTAAGCTCATTTCTCCTCGTCCTGTCCCTCGTGGTCCCGGAGGGGATTTGGCTCCTCCGCCCCCTTTGCAGCAGCGCTTTGCACATTGGTGGCTGCAGAGAGGGAAGGATCCCGATGGTTTCTCCACATCCACGTGGTGGGCAGGGCAGGAATCGGTGGCCTTAGGTGACAGGAAATGCACACGGGCAGGTCTCTCCCCCACCACTCTGTGCTCTCCTCTCTCGGCTTCCAGAAGAAGGACGTGCGGATGCTGCGCTTCATCCAGGAGGTGAACACCACCACCCGCTCCTGTGCCCTCTGGGACCTAGAGGAGGACACTGAGTACATTGTGCATGTCCAGTCCATCAGCATCCAAGGCCAGAGCCCTGCCAGTGAGCCAGTCCTCTTCAAGACCCCCAGGGAAGCTGAGAAACTAGCCTCTAAAAATAAAGGCAAGTGTGGGTGAGTTCCTACGTGGCCCCTGGGACACAGGGCTCTGCAGAGAGGAACCAGGATCCTGTGTGGTGAGAGGAGCTGGGAGAAACCCTGTGGGATAAATAGAATAAATCCTGTGGGATAAACAGGAGAAACCCTGTAGGATTAAACAGGAGAAACCCTATGGAATAAACAGGAGAAACCCTGTGGGATAAACAGAATAAGCCCTATGGAATAAACAGGAGAAACCCTATGGAATAAACAG